GGGGGTGCTTAATAACATGATTTTGTTTTAATAAGTAAATAACATGATGATATTGTTGAGGCACTAGATACAGATGAGAGATGACACTGAACTTCTGAATTCACTGAAAGGTGTGGGAAACATTCGGAAATATTTGGATGCATGTTAGGCTATTCGGAGAGAGAGTTAATTCATAGCCCCAAAATATTTTTCTTTTTATCCTGTTAGACTATTGCTTTAATTTCTATAAAACGCAGAATTGTCTGAAAGATTTGGGACGAGTTCTATAAAGGTCTTACATGAAGGTTAGTGCTGTTGTAGGTCTTACATGACGGTTAAGTTGAGGAATCACTAGTAAAGAGTAGAATTAAAAGTCTGTGACAGAAAGGCCAGACCGCCACATTTTCTATGTTTATCTAGCAACTAGCAGTGAGATTACAAGTCGAACATTCCCGCCTCAGAGCTTTAATGATCAAAAAAAGCAATGAGATCTCATCCTATGTAGTTACAGAGAGGATGCAAGCAAGATTTTTTCCATCGACAAATTTCTCTGCAATTGCGTTAAACAAGTCGGACATTCCCACCCAAGCTTCTCTAGGGCTGTGTTTCTAGGCAAGCTCTGGTGGCATTCCCTATTGTCTTCTGGAAGTCGCTCCTCCACAAACAAACCTCCTCAAAAGTTGTGCCTTGGCACTTTAAAACCGTGCCTCTCCATTTTACTTGAGCTTCCCATTAATGGTGCTCTATATTCAAATATTCTGTATCCTCTGGTATCTGCTACACGATGCCTTAGTCCCCACTTTATAGTAAAATGCATTTCTCCTGTTACCAAATGGTAATTCCCGCGGCAAAACTAGTTTCACATCCTCCTCTGAAGATGCAGTGCGGCTACGCACGCCCTGCACTAGTATTCGTCGAATAGTGCTCCCTTGTCCAAAAGACATCTATACTGGTTGTACAAGTATGACGGGTCTAATTACCTTCTATCAATTTTAGGACATTTACTGTGGATAGCGCTCATCAGCTCATGTATGGAATGTGAACAATGCCTCTACATATAAAACTTGTATGTATGAATAGTATTATGAGAATGATTTGTATTATTCCTGTGAATGCTGCCCATGCTTACACGGAACCAAACTATTCCCTAGTCCTAGTACCACTTGTAGGGACATGCAATATACCGATAGGGATAACACAACAGAGTGTTTTGATGCCATTTGTTGAACAAAAGACACCCACAGTAAAAAAAAAAAGGGGGAAAATAATGGTAGACATTGAAACTTCCGATTCTCAGAGAAAAAATAATATCAATATCATAGAGAATAACATACACTTACTACTCTTTTATCACAAGTCTTCAAGATTATCACACTCAAAAGAAATACCCTCTTTAGAGACACTCTCAACATGATACTGTCAAAGTAACCACATTCCTCACATACTGTTGTGATACAGACTTTTATACCTTCAGTTGGATTTGACAAAGGAAACAGTCTCTCCTTTTGTGTCTTTATCTTGTTCAAAGTTTGCTCCCTCAATTGATACTTGCGTGAGACAAAATAGGTCACCTATTGGAATAAAGATTTGGAACCCAAAAATATTTTTCCGTAACCTGAGATAAGCATGTGTCTCTTGCAATTATCTAAACAAGACTGTTCAAGAAGCCTTAGTCATTCCAATATTATGGAAAGGATCTCTCTACCAAAATCCCAAACTGATTGTACAACGGGCTTTAAGAGTGGTAGGCTGAGCTGCTATATATCATTTTTTTTACTCCACAAAAGTGATATTATTAACCATGGTTCTAGAGGCACTCTTTGCTTATATGATGCCTAAAACCTCAAATTTGCAGGTAATAGGGGTAGATAACTTTCTACTATTATTTATTGGGAGAACCTAAGGGCACCAAAGCATAATCATGCCTCCCTCTGAACTAAGAGTGCACACAAATTTGTCGCATGAGTTAGCAACGATGCATCAACTGTAGCTAGAAGCCATGCATCTGGCATCTAGAATGCGGAAATATAGAGAAGACTGGTAACACTTTTTTACGACACTGTTCTCATGGGAACAAAATGCAATAACAATTTCATTTAAGCAGACTCAGGACGATATCTATTTAGAAGTGTTTTCCGCAAGAAAATCTGCCACCTCCACCCCCTCCCCC